GATTTATTATGAGGTACACAAGGTAAGGGCGGAGCAGTGAAATGGTCAGCATTATATTATGAAATGAATGTATCAGTTCGGATGTTCCTGGGGCTCCATATATCAAAACACGAACTCACACAGGCTTGAGCAAGAAGGGACTTTATTATCCAGTTAAGAAGTGCCTGGCAGGCTGCTCACTCAGCACTGGCTTCGTCCTCAGGCTGCAATCCGGGCTCCCAGCTGCACGCTCCTCTTTCAGACAAGACGTGTCCAGAAGCAGAGGACACCCTGCTCTCCTGGCTCCTTCGCAGTCTCCCCTTTCAGTTTCCAAACCAGAGCCCCCTCCCATTCCTACACCAGCAAGAGGAACAGGCTGACCACAGTTACCAACAGCTGAATTACCCAGAGCTGAGTGAAGGCTGTGAGTCAACCACACAGCCCCTGTGTGATTTAGAAAGTAAATGAATTCCCTTACAACATACCTTATTTTTAGCTCGTTGGGTACCTCTGATAAATTAAGAAACATTTTAAAATCATGTTTGTATTTAAGAAATTCATCATTTTTCCTCCGGTTTTAGTTAACAACGGAAGAAGTTATCCGCAACTCCATCTGACCACATGAGAAAGGATAAATGTACTTCCCCCCACCCCATATGTAAGGAAGTTTAAAACTTACTAAATTTTGCATATTGCATTTATTCACTCAACAAATATTTAGCACCTGCCAATGCAAGGCACTGTTCACCAATGAACATACAGAAAACAAGCCCACAAAACCCTAGCTCCCCCAGAGAGGGAACAATTATAAAAATAAGAAACACAAAATATTGAGAGTACATGGGATGGGAAGATGGGAGGGGAAGAGTGAGACAGGGGGTGCCCTGCCCGGAGGGAGAGGGGGCGGGGCTATCTGCGCTAAGGTGATGAGGAAGGGGCACACTGATAAGACGTGGGCAGGTACGTCACTGCTGGAGTTACCATGGGGAAAAGTGCTCCAGGTAAGGTTTTGGCAAAACAAGTTCAAAATTCCTCAGCAGGTAGGATCCTGGGAGCCAGCAGACCCAGGGGGCTTCTGCAGCTGGAGTGAGCAAGGGTGGGGGGAGGTGTGAGAATCAGATAGGTCCTGGACAAGGGACCAGGGAGGCCTTTACTCTGAGTGAAAAAGAAAGATTCGCTTTTCATAAGAATTATATACAAAACACTTCCTCAACAAACTCTGGGGATTAGAAATAGTCCTATGCTTTACAGGATTTCATATACTTCGCCCATAAAAGCTAAGACATTATAAAACTTCAGTTTATCAATCCTTGGTTCATTAAGCAGTGGTGTACGCATTGGTGGAGATTTTGATGCTACCCATCGAGGTTACTCCAGCTGCTGTTATTTGTGAAGGGGAAAGGCTCAGGACTGTGACTGCTTCAAATGCAAGTAGTTTAAATCAATACATCCCAAGAACAACCCTCATACAGACATGAAACTCGATAAATATTCCGGGAAATCAATAAACCAGAAAGGCGTGCATACTAATGGGACCATGGGGATCTGCGTTGTTGTTCCTGATTTTATAATCAGCAAAGACAGATGTTAGTAGGTATCCAACCGCAGTCCTATAACTTACCAAAACCTGAGGCTGCCGGGAACTAAGAGCTGCCCCATGATGCACAGTGAGATTCCCAGGTTCAAAGCTTCTTCATGCAACTCAAGATGGACAGATTTCAGAAAGAGGATGTCAACCTCAAAAAGAGGAAACGTTCCAAAAAGCCTCCAAGAGCCTGGTTTCAAAACCAAGGAAAGGACTCCACGAAGATTGGAATGGAGTGGATTCCGCTTAACATCTTATAACACAAGATGGAGTGTAGACGCTCGGGACCATGAACCAAGAGGGCTGCCTTTAAAGGCCACTGGAACCCCATCCTGAGCACATTACCAGTGCCACAGCTTTCGTTTCCACACAGCACATTCCTACAAGGGCTTTAAGAATTTAAACCCAGCAAACATATCATTTCCCCCACTAATTTATGTTTTTCTTTATTTCTTCTAAAGAAACAAATGTACCGCCCTCCCTGGGCACATACACATAAGCAGCATGAACATAGCTATAGGCAACTTCCAAGGTGGTTAAAACATTACTGAAGAAACTTCTGGGTTTTTCTTTTTTTTAAACAAGATATACGTCAACTTTTTAATATAATTTTACATGTTCACCATTCAACAAACATACAGTGAATGCCTATTATCATCAGCTACTATGATAGAGACTAAACACAAATCACAGTCTAGTAGCAAAGCAAAGGCCAGGAATGAAGCACAGTGGTGGGCACACAGTCCAACCACCTAGGAGAGGGTCAGAGAAAGTGCAAGTGCAGATGCGATGACACGGCTGGATCCTGGAAGGCAGGGAGAAGGTGGCCCACCACACAGGGTAGGCGTACCTTCCTGGCAGAGGGGAAGAGTGGGCAGAACTGGCAGTAGCTTATTTCACAGCATTTCCCTACAGGGACTGCAGCCACCATGACCATTTGTATCCCCAGTGCCAGGCACAGCCCCTGGTCAGCTGCAGATAGTCAGAATATTTGTGGAATAAATCTGTTGAATGAATCAATACACGGAAAATGGGTTGTTTTATATAATTATCAAAAATCACACAGACACTTTAAGTGCATGACTTCCTCTAATCTTTTAGAACACAAGCCAAGTAATGTTTGAGGCAAGGAAGGAATAGCGGACAGACAGACCTCTATAATGCATAGATAATAAAGAGTGATAAATACATATATGCAGTGAAATCAAATGAGGTTCTAAAATGAGAACAAAGAAAAGGAAAACAGGCCTTTCTGCTCTGTAGGGCTTACAAAACCAAAGCTTCTGCAGAAATTGATTTCTATGTGAAAATGGTGTGCACACTGGTCATAAACATCTAGTGCATGTGGTTTACCAAGAGGAGGAGGTGGGGCGTGAGGCTGAAGGGTGCTACTGAGGGTTTTTCAGATCACCCCAAACAAGGTGGTCACCCTTTAGTTTCCTAAAAACAAAATTTTCTCTTTAAATAAAACCAGGGGAAAGTGGAAAGAGCTTAACACAATAAACCTCAATTACCTGATAATTACATGGTAGCATTCACCATATGACAATAGTCTCTTATATTCCTCCAATTGTCTAAGATTATTCCTAACCAAGGGTTGGGATGGCTCTGACTCTGAAATACCCATTTAGACCCACCCCACGCAACTCCTTGGATTTGCCCAGTAGCAAAACAGACTTGGGGTGAGAAGAGGAGGAGAAAACAAACTCCATAAACCAGCTGCATTTAGTGCAGGTGAAGTACAGGGTATAGGGAGTCACTGCTCAACCTGACCTGCACCTGTTCCCCTTCTTCAGGTAGAGGACCCTAATTTTCTGCTAGGAAGCTGGTTTTCCTTCACCCCACAGTTTTAAGGGAGGGAACTCACATGACCCTGGTCTTGCCAAGCACAGCTTTGTAACCCTATCCCACCCTCCAACCCTCAATTTACAGGCTGTGAATTGAACGTGAACCCACATGACTCATTCTGGGGCAGGCTGCTTGAGAAGGAAGCCAACACTCGGAGGGGCCAGGGATGTTGGAGAACCTACATCCAGCATAACCCACGGTGATTCCTGGACTTCACAATTATGTGATCCAGTCAAGGTTTGTTTTTTGCCCACATGAGCTGATGTGAATGGATTCACACATATAACGAAAAGAAATATGAATAATAAATAAACTTACAAGTAAAACCACGTTTGCTCCTAATATCTTGAGGAAGAATGATGAATGCCTTTTTCTACAGAAACACTGAGACTTGCAGAACTGAATTATTAGAAATTTAGTTTTTGTGGATTGGAGTAGAAAACCTCTAAAGACCATAAAACTGCTTCTAGAATACTATGTTCCAAGTAAAAAAGCAAATTTGTAAATGAATTTTTCATCACGAGTCTGGTTATAAAATTTCTGGATTATACCATATACTTTAGAATACAGTTAATTATTTCACAACTTTTGTCTAGCTTTACATTTCATATCTTGTATTTTCATGCTGTAGCAGTATCCTTTAAATCACAGAGCATTCTTACAGCTTTACACATATATAGCGTTTATAATTACTGTTATTTGCCCTCTCAATTCTCTCAGTAGAACAAATCAGGTCCCATGTAACACTACCTAGTTCTCATAGCCACCCTGAGGGGAAGGTGTTATCTTAAATTTACAAATGAGGAAAACCAGCATCACCAAGATGCATTTTATAGTGAAATTATCCTGGTAATTAATTTGGAGAATTGTTACCAATGGGCATTAAGAGAAAAAGGAATGGTGGAGGACACGGGAGAAAGGAACCAAAGTCAGTAGGCATGTAGTTTAATTCACCGGACCCATTTCATGGACTATGACGTTACAGTTAGCGTAAGACATTTAAAATTAAAAATCGTTCTTGTTTACTACCATTCTTTTGTAGTGGAAGTTTAAAGAGTCCTTATTATCCAAGTAATCACGAGTACCTCTAAAATTACAAAGTGATCATGATACTATAAAATATTCTCTATGAATTAATCACAGAATTAGTCCCCTGGATTAACCCAAGCATTCATGTGGACTGACTTATGTCAATCCTTTACTAGTCTCTCTGTCATTGTGAAATGTTGAGCCCTCTCTCTACATAATGCAAATCACCTATAAAGTAAAACTGAAACTCCTATGTGGCTCAGTGGTTGAGCATAGACCTATGAACCAGAAGGCCATGGTTCAATGTCTGGGTTGTGGGCTCAATCCCCAGTAGGGTGTGTGCAGGAGGCAGCTGATCAATGATTCTCTTCTCATTGATGTTTCGCCCTCTCCCTTCCTCTCTCTCTAAAGTCAATAAAAACATTTTTTAAAAAGGCACACAATACTTTTAGAAACATCTGTTCACTCATTTCCAACATGAAGTATCTTTAATTAGATCAAAATACCTGTTTTTAAGCTCTTCATAAGAAAAGATGAATAATTATTTTTTAAGTAAAAATCTTTGTGGCAGCAGTTTTAATTGTTACAACAAATCAGGGTGCTCTTAATTCAGTAACTACATTTTACAGTAGTCACAATTAGAGATTTAAGAACTCATGCACAGAATAGGACAAATCATTTGTAAAAATGCATTCAAAGTGAAATTTCATTTTATTAAATGCTTTCTTAACTGAATTCTGACCTTTAGTTAGATCTCAAATTTATAACCCCTTAGAAATGGTAAACAATTATGACACAATCAAATATGAAAAAACATATGGTATTCCACCAAAATAACTTAAAAAACTGATATAAAATGAAAGGCTATCCTAATTTGAATAATTAAAGCCTTCCTAAGACTATTCTGAGTCTGTAAAGATATAAATAAAAGTGTTCTAAAATGATTCTTCTAAATAAAATTCTCTTTCTTCATGACTGTATGGAGATCCTGGGACAGTGTGTCTGGCACAGTACTTATTGGGTGACAGGAGATGGGCCAGGACTAGTGGAAAAGAGAGAGGTAGCGGAGGAGGGCTAAGGAGTGAGGCGGCTTGGAGAAATGAAGAAAGGGGTGAAGGAGATAGATTTCATAGGCGAGAGATGGGAGGAGAAGGGAAGGCTGAATTAATCTGGGAAGAGCCTGAGGAAAGGGTAGCCCCTGATGAGACAAGCAGGTGGGGGGCCAGAGCCTATGGAGGAAGGAATGCGGGGATGTCACCTGAGCTTGAGGAAATTCCTGGGAAGAGAAAGGATGGGGGTGGGGGTGGGGGGTGAAAGGGAAGCAGGAAGGAGGAGAAGGAAGAGGAGGAGGAGGAAAACCAAGGGCAAATAGAGAAAGATGGTAACTTCTTACCTACCTGACTATGTATCATCCCTAAAAGTTACGTCACTCTGCATATAAACACCATTTAAAACCTTAATATTCTTATTCAACTCCAAGGAAAGTATTCAATATATTAATAAGTTCATTATAATTCATATTATAAATATACATTTATCTGGATACATGATCAATAAATTAATAAAAATAGAATGCTATTACATCACATTTTTATTACATATTTTTAAAGCTTCATCTTTTATATTTAGAAGCATTCGACAGGGTACTGAAATTTCGAAGAATTTACTTGCTGAGCACCAATAAGGACAGTCAATGGCTAACACACACATCTTCCCCTCCAGAGCGATACTTCATTTACTGCGCCCTGAGCAGCAAATCAAATCGCGGTGAAGAACATCACCAGGCCCTGGGCGATGACGTCAGAGCTCTAGTTCTTTCTTTTCTGGTTATTTCCCTTCGCTACCTGCGCCTGTTTAGAACTTCTTCCTTCCTTTTTTTCATCTTTGTCTCTGGATGTCGTTTTACTAGAAACATCCTTTATATTTGTTGATTTTTTCTTATCTTCCTTGGTTTTAGGACCTTTATCTGGTCCCACTTTCTCCTTTTCTCTGTCCTTTTTACCCTTAGGAGACTCTTTCCTGGATGTATCGGAATCGGCGATTTTCTTAGCCTTCCGGTCATCCTCTTTTTCCTTCTTCCCCCTTTTTCTCTCTTCATTCTTACTCTCCTTCCTCGACTCGGGCTTCTCTTTCTCCTTCTTGGACTCTTCTTTAGTGAGTTCTTTCACAGTCAAGTTATCCAATCAAAGGAAAAAATGTTTACTGAATCTCCTAATTCATAGAACAGATGCTTAGTGCAAAAGTATTGTCTTTCTTTAAATCTCCCTCCACACATAAATGACTTTAATATACTATGTTTAAGCTGGTTAAAAACATGCCAAAATCTATGAAGTATCAGCTATAAAAGAAATTCTAGAAACTTGCTGTCATATATTCCAGCTTAAAATATGGTATGTTGTGTCTTAAAACAAGGTTAACATGCAATATTATTCAAATGTGTATCCAGAAAGGCAGACTTTGCAGTGTTAACAACTCACATCTCACAACTGTAACGACATCATTAAAGGAACACTGACAATATAAGAACAAATTTTCTGTAACTTGTATTTGTACAAAGATAATGTAAAAATTTTTAGCTCTAGCCCTGGCCGGTTTGGCTCAGTGGATGGAGCATCGGGCTGCGGACTGAAGGGTCTCAGGTTCGATTCCGGTCGGGGGCATGTGCCTTGGTTGTGGGCACATCCCCAGTGGGAGTGTGCGGGAGGCAACTGATCGATGTTTCTCTCTCATCGATGTTTCTGGCTCTCTGTCCCTCTCCCTTTCTCATGAAATATATTTGAAAAAAAGAAAAAAAATTTTTTAGCTCTAAGAAAAAAGTAAGTTCTTAAAATATTTGTGCTATTAATCCTTGAAAACCATTAAATTGGATTTAATTTTTTAACTAAGAAAAATACAGTATCCATGAGTATAAAATTTTAAAGTCATTATCTATTGTATCAAAATGATAATTAGAATTTCTTTTCTACTCACATTCAATATTATGAAATCAGTATTCCTTTAAATATATTTCCTGTTAATTTATGTAGAACCACTCAAGCCAGCATATATATGTTGCCCATGCTCTTAGGAAAGAGAGCAATTTAATGGAAATTCCAAATCTCGTGTGAGAAGACATTGCTTTCTATTTGCTTTATGGAAAGTTGAATAGTGCCGCTAGCCAAAGGTCTGAATTTCACCTCGTGCTCTCTCATTAGGAAATCATAAGAGAAGCAGGTTTTTACGGCACATTGTAGCATTTAAGCAGAAACAAAGAACATAAAAGATTTCTCTAATATAACAAAATGTGGAAGATGTTTTTGCCCACCAAAATTATGTAAAACTCACACCGCACAAAATGTTACTCAATTCTTCCTGAACGTCTGATGAAAATCTTGTAAAAAATGCAAAATAGCAGTCACAGAGAACCAACCATCCAAGTCCTCATCCTAATTCAGTGCTGTTCACAGAGCAGCACAGGTGACGACACTGCAAGAGCCATGCTGTCAGGTCTTATTCTGCACAGGTCTTCAAGGCATTAAACCTTTAATGTTTAACGGGCCTCTCCAGGGCAAGAAGTAAAATTACACTTTTTTGGCCATTTATTTTGTAATTATTTATGTAAGAATGGAATGGTGAAAATTCTGTTTTCTTCCCAGAAACTATTCAGGTGAGATACAAAGTTAAAACGTTAAAATAGCCTAACCTTAAAATTAAAATACAAATCACAAAAGCCTGCAACTCACACAGTGTAAGTTTCACCTGTTAATGTTTCACTGCCCCCCCCCCCCAAATGAACACACTACAAATATGCCAAGCACTGAGACACAAAAGAATATTACAAATTTATAAAGAAAAACATGCACTGCCCCCAAGCCCCTCTCTGGGAAGGACATAAATATTTGCCTGTGAACAAGAAACACCAGAGAGATATAAAATAAACTGTAATAATAAGCTGTTAGCCTACATAGAATGGTTCACAGGTACAATCACTTCTAAAGAATTCAAAGAGTAAACGTGGCAAATCCTATACCAACATAATACAGTGCTCCAGATTATACATTTAAGTTCATTTTACTGAAAACTACAAGTTTGCTCGCACTAGCTTTTATTGTGCCCTATGAAAACTCATCAGAGCTTTTGGAGAAATGAAATCAATCACTGATGATTTTATCTTTTTTTTCCCCCAATAGTAATTTAAAAATTCAAACTAAGTAAGGTTTTAGGATGGAGGGTAGAAATTGTATATATAAATTTATACACAGTATAACAAATATCATGATAGTGTTATATATGTTCTTAATTTGAAGACTTACGAAGTTTGATGATATTGAAAGAAAATTACTTAGTATTATAGGCTTGAGGCAGAAAAATTTTTAATGAGGTCTTGATAAAACTACTTATGACCAAAGTTGAACTCAAAACCAAAAAGCAATAATGTTTAGCATTAGTAGCTGCATTTACATAACATATTTAGAAAATGCCATGCATTAAACTTGACTCACTCAAGGCTAATTTCAAAAACAGAAAATACCTTTAGCCTTAGTTTTTCTCTTGGCTACCCCACCGGGTCCTTCTGTTGATATTTATAAGATGAAAATAGGTTATAAACAAAATATTAAGGTAAGTAAAAATTAAGTATCTATAAAATAGTTAAAATCCATGTGTCTGTGAAACAGAAGTTAAATTCACCATTTTAAAAAATACACTCCTTCAACATATGTACATCTACCATGTATGTCATTTTGGAACCTTACTTTCACTATTTATAAGAGAAAAAAATCATTATAATCAGCCAATGATGTAGTCAACTTCCCAACTTGCCTTAGACGTGGGAAAACTGTTGGCTTTGGAGATGTCTAATTCCCACGGGGAATGGTGCTTCCTTCTCAGTGGGCATGGAAGTCAGTGGACTCCGCTCAGTGACGCAGACGATCAATTACAAGCACCAAGGGTGAAAGGACCTGCGGAATTTACTTCCCGACCCAATCATCACTGCCATCCCCCCAAAAGGGTAGTATATTTTAATAGAATTTTTTCTTTACTATTTGAGTAATCATTGTTTTTTTCCTCATAGTTTCAAACTTTATTTAAAACTTACACCAGAGCCTGTCCAGTGTTGCTCAGTGGTTGAGTCAACCTACGAACCAAGCAATCACGGTTCGATTCCCGGTCAGGGCACATGCCCAAGTTTCGGGCTCGCTCCCCACTAGGGGGCATGCAGGAGGCAGCCAATCAATGACTCTCTCTCATCATTGATGTTTCTCTCTCTCTCTCCCTCTCCCTTCTTCTCTGAAATCAATAAAAATATTTAAAAACAAACAAACAAACAAAAATGAGGTTGTCCATGTGAGAATGGTAATTTATTTTGGTTGAACTATCCACATCATCGCCCTCAGGGGAAAGATGTATTAGTTCTATCTTACCACTGCCTACATTTAAAAAAAAAAAAAAAAAGTGAATTAACTATTCCATGTTGGAATTAACTTTTCCCGTTTGGATACAAATCCTTTCCATATCCGTCCAATTACCTGATATACATACACAACCATATTCAGTGTGTGATGACAATTATTTTCCCAGAAAAACCTGATTCTTTACTAAACGCTACTGAAAAGAGCATGTTACCTGAGATACTAAATGCTTTTCTGGACCACTCCACATGAAAATTTATTTCACAATAAAATACCAAGTGTATTCTTATAATGCCAACTTCTAAATATGTGGGCATTATCCCAGGTGGAAAGTAAATCAGCATAAATCACTTGAATGCACTTTTAGTGATGCTAATGTCCCCTCCTGACTCCCGCAGGTTCTGAAATGCAGCCCTGGATTCCGTTACAAAACAGAGTGGTGAAAATCAGGCTCCCCACCCTCCACCCCCACTTTGGTCAAAAGAACTATACTGGTGAAAAAGCTGAAGGGTTTTAGTAACAAACTAAAATACCAGATTGCTATCAGATTAATGAAACAGGAAAACTAATAAGTACTTAAAATTTTTCCCGTTTGGGTATAAATCCTTATAATGGTACAAATTAACAATGTGCAATGTACTGTGTAAAATTCCAAAGCATCAATTTAAGCTACCTTTTCTAAACTTAACGAATGTAGTCAATAATTTTCCAATACTTTTGACATGACAAATATTGAGCTGATAATTTAAGCCAGAATTATCATATTCAGTATCTGAAGGAAATAGTATAGCTATGAAAGAAAACACAGCATTTGGAAAAGAGGAAATTAACAGAGAAGCCCCTATGCATTGAAGAATAGAGAGAAAAGTCAATAAAATGCCATGTTCTAAAAACTAAAGGAGCAGTTTTGGGAAGGAAGGCATGAACAAAGGTTTAGAATGAGGACACTACTGAATTAAGTTAGTTATTAAATGTCCCATAAGGGTCTCCAGATTAGTTTTATAAGCAGTTCCAGAGGTGGTTACATTGCAGTGATGAAAAACCATAGGTGGAAAGGTGAGCAAAACCCAGAGTTCTCATGAGGACCGCTCTTAACTCCTTAGAACAGCGGTTCTCAACCTGTGGGTCGCGACCCCTTTGGGGGTGACCCTTTCACAGTGGATTGCCTAAGACCATAGGAAAACACATATATAATGAC